AAGCACATTGCAACATCAATTGCCCTCTCGGGATCGTCCAATGCCAAAAAACAACTAGCATGGTTGCACCCTACTATGGCAACCGCAGAAATGCACATAAAAATAGTGTAAACCCTGATTGTATGACCAAGGTTGTTAAAAGATATGCATGCCAAGCCGAGCGAGCCAACGGCTGTGTTAACATTTTGATTCATTAATAATGTGGGTTAAAAAAGAGTATATGCCTCGATCGTAATCGAAAAGTACAGTTGCGAAATGTATGAGCATGAAGTTCAATTAACATAGGCCCTGATCATACGATCGAAACCAATAAAAAACTGAGGATGTTGGGGCTCACGAAAATGATTTATGAGTAGGTCGGTCATTCTCGTAGTTTTATTTTCATGGTCTCTGGGTTTGAAATCAAGTCTCAACGATATACTACTGTTAGATTTAACTCCTCAATTAAAGAGGAGTTAGTTCAATAGTTGTAAAAATATGATCCTCGAATTCACAGCATGATAATAAAAACCAAAATCTATTTAGATAACTCCTACTTTGAGTAAAAGGAGAGATGCTCACTTATCAGTAGGCTTAAAATGTATGTAGTTAAGGAAAACCATAATCAGAGTTAGAGACTCCGTACAAGTGAAAAATACAGGCATGAGTTTTAAACCTACAACCTTATATTCAATAAATTTGTTCTAATTATTTTGATTCATTTGTAGTCCCCCCCTTAAACGGGAGCATGAGCAATATAAAGTCAGGGTTATTTGTAATTAAATTTTATTAGTGTTTCTGTTTTATCGTAATTTATATATATTTTTATTTTTTTTTCTTCTCACTTTAACATGTAAGACCGCTGAAGATACCTTTGAGTACATTGCTTTGACCCACCTGCAAAACGCATTATAAAATCGCATTTTATCAAGGTTGTGAACACGAAGGTCCATCCCACTTTATCATAAACCTTCTGCATATCGAACAATATGACCAACACATTTCTCTTTTTTTTCCTTAAAAATTCAAATTTATAAATACTATACATTATATTATGAAAAATTAACATGCCTTTCCCTAAGACGTCAAATTTATAAATAGTAAACATTATATTATGAAAGATTGACATGGTGTTTACACACCCCTTTGTCCCTACCCAATCAAATATGGCAATAGGCTAACTAATGTCATCGCCAAGACCTTAGCAAATATTTTATAGGCTACGTTCATAACTGATATAGGTCCATAAATTTTCACTTCCCTCTTATCCCTTATTTTATACAACAGAGATATCACCCCAAACAATCATCTCTTAGGTAACATACCGGAACCTAAGCCATTATTAAAAATTTGACAAAGGAAATGACCAAATGCGTCCCAAACACATATAAGCGGTTTTATGGGTAGCCTATTGTACAAATATTTACCTTTACTCATTTGCTTAACAGCCACAATCAGTTCTTAAGACGAAAAAGGAGTGTTGAAAAAATTAATTCCTAAAGGAGGTAAAATAAAACACAGGATCTGTG